TTATTCAGCGTTGCAATGCGACTTGGAACACATACGACTTTTACGGCAATGTTCACGCAGAGCCGATTTGCGTTGAAAAAATCCTTGCAGGAGCAAACGCTCCCGATTATCAGAACAATATGCTCATAACAAAGGGATATTTCAACATTAAGTGTCAGTACAACGAGTTTACAAGGCAGCTTGACACGAACAGCAGAATTATTCTCGGAAGCGCGGCGTACACAATTACCGGGTATTCGGATTTTGCGCAGGAGTTTACAGACGATGACCGCAGTATAAGGCTTTTGGAGTTTACGGCACGGTACGAAGAGCCTAATCTCGAAATTGACGATATGCAAAAGCATATTGCCGGAGGACTTACGGAAACCTTTGAAATCAAAATCACCGGGGACGATGTTTTGCAGACAAACAAGCAGGGCAAGCTCAATGCGGCGTTTATTTATAACGGAAAAGTTATTGAGAGTACGACCGAAAAGCCCGTTACCTTTGTTTGGGAAAGTCTTGACAAAAGCATTGCCGAAATTGACGAAAGCGGAAACATTCAAAGCAAAAATCTCGAAGGCGATGCCGAAATCTCGGTTTACCTTGCGGAAAATCCCGACATAAGGGCTACAAAAACCGTAGAGATAATAAGCACTCCCGTTTCGGACATAAAGATACTTTCCGAGATACCGGCAAGCATATCGCAGTACGAAAGCGCGGTCATTACGGCGCAGGGCATTTCAAACGGCGAGGAAACAGATGTTGAGTTTTCATTTGCAAACGCGGACAGAGGCAGTTACAGCGCAACGGTCAACGGAAACACGGCTACTATAAAGTGCTTCAAGGCTTCCGATGCGCCGCTTGCGATCACAATAAGCTGTGAGGGTGCTGTTCTTACCCTTTATATCGTTTTAGAGGGGATATAAATGCACCGAAAATGTGAGTTTGAGTATTTCGTGAACGGCGACGGCAATGTCCGATGCCGCATCGTAAAAGATACCTATGACGGCTGTTTATGGCAACGGTATTGTCCGCAGATACGGAAAAACGAAACGATAAACGGCGGAGAACAATGCGAAATCAAGGCAAATTACCTAAAAAATAAAAATTGAAAGAGGGTAAAACAAATGTTTGAACTGACGAAAGAACACATAGCACGGGCGAAAAGCTATCTGCCGATTGCCGAAAAGGACAGAATTGTAATGCTTCTTGCGGATTTTTGCTTAAAAGATGTCGATGTTTCGCTGACGAAAGAAAACGAAAAAGACAGCTTACCGCCTATGGCAATGGAAAACACCTTTGCAAAAAGCCGTTTTCTTTTGGGCGTGTTCTTAAAGGAATATCTCGGCATTGAGTTTGAGGGCGTGAAAAGCGATTATCTGCTCTCATACGATGATTACGACAAATACGCAGGAGCGCATATATTCAATCAAGTGGAACGCTTCAAGGGCTACGGCAAGGGCGAATACAGGGATAAATGCTTTGATATGCTCCTTGACTTTAAGGAGCTTGAAAAAAAGCTGAACACGGAGATTTACGGTCTTTTGCAAGTCAAAAACGATGTGGTGAACCGTGTTTTTGTGAAAATAACAGAAGCGTTTACTCCCGAAATGCTTTCCGACCTTGCAAAGCAGATGGACGAATCAAAGGACAATCTGCAAAGCTATATGGCGAGCCGGAAAAAAGCGGTGAATACCGATGAGAGCTGATTTTAATTCTCCGTACTATCCTTATGCAAAGGTAATTGAGGGCGCAAACAGCTACAAGGGAATCGAGAATATCCCGAAAATGCTGCTTGAATATCTTATGGATATGCCGGATGCTTACGGCTATGAGCCGCAGGACGATAATTCAAGACCGCGTGTCAGACTTATCAAGTATCTTTTCTATGACGGCGCAAATCCGCTTTCTTGTGAGCTTCCGACACCGGAGCAGAAAAAAAGCATACTGTTCGATCCGCTCAATCCCGATATAAACACCGATGCGCTGAAAACAAAGCACCCGAAAGGGTACAGGCTTATCTGGCAGAAAATAATCGGGCAGAGCCAGCTTACGGCGCAAACGGTTATCAAGTGCTACATTAACCGCATATCGAGCATAACGCCGTTTGAGGACACGATAGGCATCAGGTTTGATATTACCGTGAATGTCAATCAAGAGACAAACACAAAAACCGAGGCTTATCAAAGGTCATTTGACATCGAGCAATGCATAAGGGAAGCCTTAAACGGTGTGAACATTACGGGAATTGGTGTCGTTTCGTTTGCAAGGCGCGAGCTTTCGGACAACGGAAGCGGATTTTTGTATGACGAAAGCACGAATGTAGGGCGGTATGTTTGCTGTTCCGTGAATTGGGCGGAAAGCAAAACCGGACTTTAAGCTGGCGAGAGCCGAACCGAAAAAAACTGTTTTAGTTTGCCGAAAAAGCGGCAAATAATTGTCAGGAAGGGCATTAGGCAGGGCGAAAACGCTTTGCTTGATGCTCTTTTTACATAGAGGGGGCGAAAAATAAAAATATGTACGACCTTCCCAAAAAAACAAGGCTTGCCATTGAGCAATACAAAAGCATTGAGTACAAAGGTCTTACGCTTTATCCTGTCAAGGTAAAAAATTACGAGGAGTTTTTACTTGCTCGACCTGCAATAGAGTTTATGCCTCAATCTTTACCGATTAAGTACATATCCCTGCCTTTATTGCAAGCGTTTTTCGAGTGGGATTTTGATTTAAGGGCTGACAATCAGCCGGGAAACGATTTATTTGCAAGAGCGTTACTTTTTATATCGCTCGCCTTAAATTGTGAGGAAAACGGCGATACGAAAGACAAATTGAACGCATTGCAGGTTTTGGCAAACGGAAAAAAGCTGATTTGCGTAAGGGCTTTGCAAAAGGGGAAAATTAAAGAAATAAATCCCGAGCTTTTTGCGGAGATATTGCCTGTTTTGGCGGCTCAAAACGGCATAGAGCTGATACCTGTTACGGCAAATCCCGATCTGATACAGGCGGAGCGAGACATTGCTCGAAGCGGAGGGAAAATCACGCTTTCGGCAAAACCGCAGGACGAAATATCGGCGGCTTGCGCTTTTTGCGGCGCGAACGAAAGCGATGTTTATGAGTGGAGCGTGCTTAAACTGCAAAGGCGGCTTATAAGCATACGCAGAGCAATGGATTATATCGTTTGCTCAATCGGAGAAAGCAACGGTGCGACTTGGAAAGGCGGAAATCCCTGCCCCGATCCGTTTTTCAAGCGCACGAAAACACAGTCAATGGGCGTTGTGCCGCTTGACAGTTTTGCAGGCGGCGCGGCAAAAAAAGCAATCAACAATCAAAAATCATAGGAGGAATAAATATGATTAAATTTACCGATCCGAGACTTTATGTCAAGGGGACTTGCGAGGCAACACTTTCCGATGACAACGGAAATATTGCGTATTACAGCGACAAATTCAACGCAAACAACATCAACACGAGCGTTACGATGGGAGAAATTCGCGCAGGTATCGGAAATCCGATAGCTGCGGTCATTCCGTCCGATTCCAACTTGGAGGTCGATTTCTCTGCTGCGGATTTCAGCCTTTTTGCAAAAATGGCGCAGGTCGGCGGACGCATTACCTACAATGCTCCCGAAATGGTGTGCGAGAATGTTACGGCATCGGGAACTTCGCTTACAATAACAAAATCCGAGGGTACGCCTGTTGCGGAACTCGGTTACACCGACATTTTCTGCTATGTGCAGGAGGTCGGCGCACCGTCTTCGGTCAACACGGCAGGAACGGCATATGCGCTCAATCCGACAAGCGGCGCAATTACCGGCTTTACCGCAGTCAGCGGAAAGACATATAAGGTATCGTATTTCGTCAACAAGGCAAGCGCACAGCTTGGCACGATTTACAGCAATTTCGACAGCCGTGTTCTTCATTTCAAGGCGCGGTTGGCGGTCTACTCGAATGTTTCGGCAAACGGCGAGGGAACTTTTGTCGGAAACCTGTATATCAATGTGCCTGCTCTAAAACTCAACGGCTCCGGCGGTCTTACGGGAGACCAGACAACGAACGACACAACGAGCATTACGGGTATGGCAATAGTCCACGATGAAGCGGTCATTTCCGACAACTGCGACTGCGGATTAAACTCTTCCGTGCTTGCGTATTATGTCTATTCTCCCTGCAATCCCACCAACGAGGTACAGTCAATGGTATTCCTCGGTGGCAGACTTTATACGACAGACGAAACCGGCACATTCGGTCAGTATGTTTCGCCTTGTAATGGCGGACGGCTCGCTTGTGCAGCCGGACGAAGCAAAGATAAGCGGCGAGGACACATCCGGTGAAAGTGGTGGTTTTGAAATTGCCGGATTTACTTTCGCACCGGCAGGCGATGATGCCACCGCAGGCGAACACATTATCGAGCTTACCTACACGGACGGCGATATTGTAAAGACAACCACATTCGTAATTGAATTCGACAAATAAGACTTATATCCCCGAAATATTCGGGGATATATGCGAGAGCGCAAACAGATGCTGTTTGCGTTTTGGCATATGAAAAGAGGGATAAAATGAGCCTTTCAAGCGAGATTGCGGCATTTAGATTAAATCTTGAAAAAGCCCTGACCGTTGCGATGCTTACGACCGTTGCGGACGGAGTAAAGCAGGAAATCGCCGATGCGGTGCAGACAGAGGTATACGATGCTTACACGCCGACCGAATATTTAAGGCGAGGCGAAAGCGGAGGCTTGCAGGATAAAAAGCCTTATGAGCGCGGCATACGATGACAGCACACATACATTGGAGGTCGCGGACTTGGCAATGGCGGACGATGACGAGCCGCACCCCGGAAGGCTTATAGCTCCCGTGGTGGAAAGCGGAAAAGGATATGACTACAATGTCGAAATCAGCCCCCGACCGTTTCACAAGGCGGCGGAGGACAATTTTGTAAAAAGCGGTGCTTTTGAAAGTTTACTTGCGGCAGGGCTTAAAAAACAAGGGTTTATTGTTAAACAATAAGGAGGCTTAAAAAATATGGCAAACAGCGTAATCCTTACGGTAGATGTGCAATCCGGTCAGCTTTTGTCGCTCGAACAGAGAGTTGCAAGGCTACAAACACAGCCTATAAATATAAAAGTAAACATTACCGGTAATGCCTTGTCTATGTCGGAAAAACAAATCAATGCGCTTGCAAGGCTTGCCTCAGCGCAGGTAAAGCAGGATAACGCAAACGCAAAGCTGACCGTATCGAGCAATAATCTTGCAATTTCCCAAAACAAACTTGCCATAGAGCAGGAAAGAACGGCGCAGTCAACAAACAGGGTTGCATTGGAGCAGGAAAGGCAGGCAACGGCAGGAGCAAGAGCCGCAGCCAAAAATGAGCAATATTCGGCATCCTTGCGCAAAACAGGGCAACAAGCCGAATTCGCAAAGACCGGGGTTGCAGGCTTTTTCTCGGCTTTGAAGCTGTCTTTGCCTTACTATGCGGCGTATGCGGCGATGAGCAAAATCGTGTCGGCGTTTTCCGATGCTTTTGAAATGATGAAAAAAGTGGATGACGAGCTTGTAGTTATCCGCAAGGTTACGGGTATGTCGGGCGATGAACTTGAAAAAATACAAAGCACGGCTTACGAGAAAGCATCGCAATACGGCACATCGGCAGATTCATATTTAGAGTCGGTTGCTCAATTTTCACGAGCCGGATATAAAGCACAGGCGGAGGCACTTGCGGAGCTTGCCACAAAGACAATGATTGTCGGCGATACCACGGCGGAGGTTGCAAATCAGTTTTTGCTCTCGGTCGATGCAGGTTATAAATATAAAGGCTCTATTGAGGCTCTTTCGGCTGTTTTGGACGGTGCAAACGAACTCGACAACAAATATGCAACGAGCATTGAAAAAATCGCCGAAGGTATGGGAATTGTCGCACCGGTCGCGGCACAGGCAAATGTCGGGATTGATGAGCTTGCGGCGGCTATTGGTACTATTACCGCAGTAACGCAAAGAAGCGGATCGGAGACCGCACGAGCGTTACGAGCGCTTTTCCTAAATATAATAGGCGATACAAAGACAGAGATAGACGAGGGCGTAACTTGGACTACGGGCGAAATTGCCGGACTGCGTGATGTAATAAACACTTATGCGCCGGAAGCAGTTAAAGCGGCAGAGGCTACCGGCAGCATTATCGACCCTATGGAAGCCGTTGCAGGACTTTCAAAGGCAATGAAGGACGGTTTGCTGACGGAGCGGGAGCTTATGGAAACCGTTTCCGACATCGGCGGCAAACTGCGCACACCACAGTTGCTTGCCTTGATACAGAATTGGGATATGTACCAATCAATGTTGAAGGACTACGGCAACGCGATAGGCTCGGCGGACAGGGAAGTTGCAAACGCCCTTGATTCTTGGAGCAGAAAGACCGAAATTCTCAAAAACAAGTGGACGGATTTTCTGCAAAACTTTATAAACTCCGGCACGGTAAAGGTCGCGCTTGACATCATAATCGGACTTGTCGAAGTACTTGATACCGATTTCGGGCATTTTATAATAACGGCAGGCTTGCTTGTTGCCGCAGGAAGCCTTTTAACAAAGGGCATTACCGCGCTCGGAACATCAATCAAAATAGCCGCCGTCAATCTGGAATTGGCAAGGCGTGGTACGGTTACTTGGACTGCGGAAGAGATAGCGGCGGCAGCATCGACAGTAACGCTTGGCGAAGCGGTAAAGGCTCTGACCGTTGCGATGCTTTCAAATCCTCTGTTTTGGGGCGCGGCGGCGGTCGGACTTATTGCAGGAATTGTCGCAATAGTAGATGCCTGCACGACCTCGCTTGAAGAGCAAAGGGAAAAAGTAGCCAAGTTGAACGCCGAATATGAACAGATGTTCGGTGTAGGCTCGGAATACGATACCCTTATAAAAAAAGAAGAAGAGCTGACTGCAAAAGAAAAAGCACGCCTTGAAATCTTAAAAGGCATAAGAGCCGAAAAAGAAGCAACGACAAAGATAGAACTTGATAAAGAGTTTGAACTTTTTCAAGAAAGAGTAAATAGCACAAATGTACGAAGCTCAAAAGAAATGATTAAGGTGGCATCAAGAGGTCCGGTAGCAGGTGGCAAACGACTATCCGATACAGAACAAGCCGTATATGATCTCTCAAAAGCGTTAAAGGATAATTCCGAAGCCTACTATAATGCGGAGATAAGTGCAACCAAGTATAAAAATGCTATTTCTTCGGCGGCAGAGAAACACGCGGATTTTTACAACGATCTGATAAAGTATCGGGATGCAGGCTTTGAGCTTACAGAATTACAAAATCAGTTTATAGCCGAATACGAAGCAACGGCTCTTGCGGTCAATTACCTTGCGAATGCAGAAAAAGGCGTTGTTTCATCGGAAGAAAACATTGTAGGATATGCAAGAACGCTTATCGCATCTTTGGGCGAAGGAAAAAACGGCGTGGAACTCTACAACAGATGTCATAAAAGATTATATCCGCATAATGGCTGCACTTGCCGATCAGAATGACAACAACAGAGGACGAACGAGCGTAGGCTGGGCGCATAAAGCATGGCAAGAGCAACATTCTTATAAAGCATGGCAAGAGCAACATTCTTATTGGCTCGACTTGTTAGGTGACCTTGAAGAAGCAGAAAAAGCCGAGGAAGAAGCGGCAGAGGCAGAAAAAGCCGAGGAAGAAGCGGCAGAGGCAGAAAAAAAGACAAGCGGCACAGGCGGAAGCGGCACTGACCAAAAGCGAAAAGCACTTGAAGCCATTGTCAATCTGCGCAAATCCGAGCTTAAATATTTGCAGGAAAGCGGAGCATCGGAAAGTGAGCAAATCGCAAAATTGCGCGAGGTACAAGATGCTTTGCACAATGAAGCGGAATATTTGCGGACGACTCCCGAATATCTTGCAAAAAGCGCAGAGGCATTAAAGGATGTTGTTGACCTTTCGGCGGAATGGTGGAGCGTTGACAAGCAAATCGCCGACATAAATCAAAAGATTATTGACAAGCAAAACGAGCAAATAAAACAGCAGCTTGAATACGCAAAACAGGCAAGGGACGACCGTGTTTCCGCTTTGGAAAAAGAGCTTGATGCGTTAGATGCAGAGCTTTCGGGACTTAAAAAGAAAAATGAGGAAGAAAAAAAGCAAAACGAACTGATAGAAAAGCGAATTGCTCTTGAAAATGCCTTAAATGAGCGAAATGTCAGAGTTTTCAATGCGCAGACGGGGCGGTTTGAATGGGTTGCAAATCAACAGACAGTTGAAAAAGCAAGAAAAGATTATTCAAATGCGCTGACCGAAATCGAGATAAGTGCGAGCGAAGAAAGAATAAATGCAAGGATTGCCGATGTCAAATTGCAAATCGAAGAGGTCAAAAGGCAGTACGACCGGCTTGAAAAGCTGATAAACAGTGCCGACAATGAGCAAAATCACGCAGCAGCTTCTACCGAAATAAAGAATTATATGAGTGGAAGCTCTTATACCGGCAGTTACAATGCGGACGGAACGAAAACGGTAAAAGTAAATCCTGACGGGAATGCGCCGAAAGGATTGCTTGTGGGCGACAAGGTGATAACAGGCGGCGGAACATATGAAATAACGGGATTTAAGCCCGGAGGCGGATACGAAAGCCGGCTTTTAAGCGAGGCGCAAAGCAATCCTACACAGATAAGCACTACGCAAAACAAAATAGGCACGCAAAACAACGGCAACATATACAATGTAAGCGGTATCAAGTTAAGCGAAGCGCAGGCGAAATCCACAACGCTTTATGAGCTTGCACAGCGGGCGGAAGGTCTCGGAATATACAATAATAATTAAAAGGGGCGGTAAAAATGGCTTTAAATCAACCTACTTATGTAACTCCCTCGGTGCTTTGGGGCAATGGGAACGGAACGGCAGATGCCGATATGCCTCTTGAAATATCGTGGAAAGTAAACGGGGCTTCGGCAATGCTTGCGTATGTAATCAAAATATATGAGAATAACGCGGCATCCACACAAAAATACACTACGGGAAAAATTACACTCGATGAGCCGTTTTACGGAACTGATGCAAAAGGCGAAGCAAGGCTTTTTACGCACACAATTCCTGCCGATGTCTTGGCGGAAAACAATATAACAAACGGTAACGAATACAAATTCACAATCCGGCAATATTGGGGAGACACTGACGACGAAAGCATTTTGCAATCGAGTGCATCGGTTTTTATTGCAAGAAGCACGCCGCAAATAGAACTCGATGAAATTCCTGCGCCTGTAAGGACAACAGACTACACTTTTTCGGCATCTTATACGCAGGCGCAAAACGATACTGTCTCTTGGGTGCGTTGGCAGCTTGCCGAATGGGATAGTCTTGACAAGCCTTTTTACGATAGCGGAAAATTATACGGTACATCATTGCTGGAACTTTCTTATGACGGCTTTTTTAACGGCAATTATGCGGTAAAATGTTCGGTCGAAACTGAAAACGGAATAGAATGCGATACTACATGGATAGGATTTTCCGTTTCGCTTATTGTAGCCAAAGCGGAAATAAGGGGGAAACTCGAAGCAAGCCGCATGCCCGGAACATCGGGAATACAAGTCAGCTTTCCTGACACAACTTACATAAACGGAGTTGCAAACAGCGATAACTCATACCGGATAAAAAACGGAAGGCTTGAACTTGATGCTTCTGCCACTATCACTTGGGGCGCGGACACGGGATTGAATATAGAAAAGCCCTATACGGTCGTTTGGACGGGAAAGCTATATTATTCGTCTTCTTTTGAGTCGGAGCTTTTCAAAATCGAAACGGCAAACGGTTATTTCAGCGCGGAGTATAACGGAACAGATGCAATTTTTTTCTACGAAAACGACATCATGTTAGATTGGCTATATGTACCGGAAGGGGATCAAACGGAGGGGACGGTCGTTTGGACACCGAACGCGATATATTGCAATTTCGCGGAGTACACAAGCAGTCTTTATCCGTCCTACGCATTGCGACCCGGCACAAGCGGGGTTTTTCCGCAGGCGGACGGCATCGGTACGGTCAAAACAGAAAGTGCCGAAAAGACGATCCGTCAATTCCCCATCCGAAAAATAGAAATCGGCGGCAAACAATGGGCAGACTATATTTGGGTTAAAAGCTTTACGACCGAAGACGAAGCGAGAAAAATTATTTCTCAAAGGGGTTTCCCGAAGCCTTCGTTTACATCTGACACATATTTCCTTGCCGACTTTACAAACGGATTGAACGCAGGCGGTTTATTGCAAAGCGGAACGCTATCGGAGTTTACCGTTTATCGCAGAGACGGAGAAAGTAACAGCCTTGTCAAAATCACAAATGCCGGTAACGGATTAAAAAAATTTTTCGACTACGGAGCAAAAAATAAAAAAACATATACCTATTACGCAATAGCGGAAGGCGAAGCAAACAAAAAATATATTTTAACAAGCAATGCGATACAGCCGGGATTCTGGGATTGGGTAATCCTTTCGTGCAGGGACAACGGAAACAACAGCTTTACGGCACTAAAAGAATATCGGTTCGGAAAAAACTTTGCTTCAAGCCCGATGTCAAACAACAATGCACCGGGCATAGCCCAAAATTTCACACGCTACCCGACCGTCATGCGCGCATCTCAGAACTACAAAGGCGGCTCGCTGTCAAGCCTTATAGGAGTTATTGACCATCAGGAAGGGGCGCACTATCAAGATACGGTACAGATGCGGCAAGAAATATTTGATTTATCGACGACAAACAACACGCTTTTCTTAAAAGACAGAAAAGGAGAACTCATTAAAATAGCGATAAGCGCACCTATCGAAATGCAAACGCTTGATAATTCGGCGGAGCAAGCGCAAACGGCAAGCATCCAGTGGGTTGAAACGGGAAACGCAGAAAACGCAAGCATAATCGCGTACAATACAATTTAAGGAGGATACTTATGGCAACGGACATTTCCGAATATCTGAATGCGCTTAAAGCTCCTTTTATAAAGCTGTGCAGATTGAGATTTCTCAATGCTGACGGGACAATGGCTTTTGCACTTGATAACAATGCAAACGACGGGCGCAACAGCGCATTTATCGCAGACGGTACGCTGAATGTCAATCTGCAAAACGGGCAGAGACGAAACGCACAGATAACGCTATGCAACCTTGATGATGCGTTTGACTATAATGTGAATAATTTATGGTTCGGCTCGGAAATAGCACTTGATGAAGGACTTATTTTGCCAAACGGCAAGGAATATTATATCCAACAGGGGATTTTTGTTCTGAGTACGCCGCAGGAGGAAATTCTGCCTTCAAGCAGGACAATCAAGTACAATCTTGTCGATAAATGGGCAAATATTGACGGTACTCTCGGCGGTAAGCTCGACGCAACATACATTATTCCCGTAGATACTTATGTTTTTTCGCCTATTACGGCTTTACTCACGCAGGACAAGGGAAACGGATTACCGATTGACAGAATAAATCCGGTTTGCACGGAGTTTTACAAGTCGCGGACTCAAAAACTGCCTTCCGGCGTAACAAAAAGCGTTACAAATACGCCTTACACAATCCAAAAAGAAATAGGCTCTACAATCGGCGATGTTATTTCGGAATTATGCGGAACGCTCAATGCTTGGGTGGGATATGATGCTTCGGGGGCTTTGCGCATTGACCCGTCGCAGGACGATATATCAGATTTGAGCAAGCCTGTATTATGGAGATTTTCACAAAACGAGGCGGAATTACAAGGTCTTACATATCAAACAAAAAATACCGAGGTATACAACGATTTTATTGTGGTCGGCGAGCAGCTCGACAATTATAATCAGCCTTCGGGACGAGCGGAAAACCTTGACCCGAAAAGCGATACGAATATTAAAATAATAGGCAGAAAAACACTTGTCGAAACCGGCGCGAAATTCTTTACGGATGTGCAATGTAAAGATTATGCCGCTTGGAAGTTAAAACGCTCTGCCGTTTTGCAAAAAGCCGTTACCGTTACCTGCTCGCAGATGTTCCACATAAAAGAAAACGATATTATTACGATTACGCGGACAGATAAACCCGGCGCACCGACCGAAAGGCATCTGATACAAGGATTTTCAAGACCGCTTGCAGGAACAGGCTCAATGACGATAAATTGCACATCGGTTGAGGATTTTCCGAATCCTACAATTACTTCTTGGGGGGATAATGAATAATGAGCGGAAACAGATTGCTGCGTGAGTTTGCCGAAAGTCTATGGAGAAACTATTTCAAGCCTAAGCTTTTGCAGGAATTAAGACCTTGCTTAAAATATTACAAGGCAAAGGTAATATCTGTTGACACAAAAAACAATAAAATTAAGGTGCGCCGACCGTTTGACGAAAGCGTTACTTTACCTTGCACTGCATCGGCTCTTTCAATGCAAAGCGGAGACAACTGCATTGTTTTGGTATTTGGCGATTTCAATAATTCGGTTGTACTTTGCAAAGCAGATTTTTCAAATTTATAAAGGAGGATACTTATGTCACACGGTTATGTAACTCCCGAATGGAAAAACTTAAATGAGCCGAAAATCAACGATTCTCGAATGGCGATGCTTGCAGAGGCGGCATCAACGACTAAAAACGATTTGGGCGAATTGAGATTTTCACTCTCGGACAATATGGGAAAGGATTATCTTATTTGCGACGGAAGCCCGATAAACGAGACGGAATATCCCGAACTTTATGAGTTTTTCGCCGAAGACGAAGATGCATACAGTGAGGTACAAATATCGGCAACCGGAACGATAGGAAACATCGCTACGGACGGCAACGGTACATTTATTATTCCGATAGCCGACAGAACAAACAAAAAAACAAGGGTTTTTTACAGCAAAGACTTCGGAAAAACATGGAACATTACCGCTGAAATCGAAGGAGATTTCGAGGCGGCGGCTTACTCGCCTTCTGGCTTTGCGATTGCCGGTGTTGCGTTTAGCGGCAATAACCTTAAATGGGCGCGTGCATATAGTGAGAAGCCCGATGATTGGCGTGTTGCCGAGGATTACAAACCGGCAAGTTTAGAAGCAGGTTCGGTGCGACTGCTTTATGCGCCTGTCCCGGTCCCATCAGGGGCTCATCTTTTCAATAATACTTTGTATGCGTTATATCGTGACACAAATGCCCCTTCGTGGCTGTACAAATCACCGCTTTTCCGTTGGGGAAACGATAATCAAAACAGGACTTTTAAGATCGGAAGCGGAACGAGTTTATCCGGGGCGACAGCGGATTCGGACAACGAAACAGGTATGACCGTAATCACATATAATTCGGCAAGCGATATAATGAAAATTTTTCCTTCCGGTAATGAGGAAACCACAACGCTCGTACCGAAAGCAATTCTGAAAACACATAACGGGAGTTATATCATTGCCGCAAACGATTCAAGCGGCTATCCGTATGTGTGCTTCAACAAAAAACCCACGCTTGCATCTGCCGTAAAGCTTTCGAGTTCGGTTAAAGCAGAGTTTAAAACCGTTACCGAATACAACGAGATATACTATCTTCTCGGAACTGTTACCGAAAACGGAAACAAACAGATATATGTATATTATTCGTCAGACGGAGTGAATTATGCCGCAAAGCGGTATACGCAAACATCCGAATATACAGATTTTACGGACATAATAGTCTCAAACAATCGCATTTATGCTCTCGCTAAAAAAAATGCGCAGACTTTTTTTGTCGAACTGCCTTGCCCCGGCATTGTTGTCAGCGTTCCGAAAATAACAAATGACGGCTACAATACTTTCATTAAGGCTACAAGCAGTGTCGAAACGGGAATCAGTTTCGGTCTTAGTCTGAACGC